CATTTTTCTAACTTTTGGTAGCATTTTTGGTTACAATGGTAAATAAATTTAGAAATATTTTTACTAACTTTAGACAACTAAACTTTGGGGATATTTTGGTAACATTTTGGGTGACTTTCGTAACTGACTTAAGGTCACATTATGTAATCTTTGTTAACATTTTTGGAAGGTATGGAAACTTTTTGGAAGCATTATTGGTTATTTTAACCTTTGGTCAAGTGTGGCATATACATTTTGGTAACACTATTGGTAGCATTTGGCAACTAAACGTCAGCAACAGTTTTGTGTATGATATAAACCAACTTTGGAAATAATTTAGTATTTTCTTTTGTTGAATAGCCTTTGCTTTATCACCTTTGTTAACTAACTAAGGGTAAAATGCTGCTATTCATATTTTTTGCAAACTATGGTAACTGATATTGGTGACAACTTTGGTAAGTTTTTATGATGAGCTGTTGGGAAGATTTTTGGCTTTGTTTGTATTTTCATAATTTTTTTGACTAACTTTTGACAACTTTGGCAACTGACCTCTGGTAACATTTTGGCAACTGGCAACTTGCTATGAGTGACATTTTTGAAACTATGATAACCAACACCTATCTCTCTCACTGTCTGTCTATCTGTCTATCCATGCATCCAGCCGTCTGCCTATCTGCCCAAGCAAAGGTCTGCACCCTACAGGCTGCTATTTATTTCTTTCTCTAAAACCTGGCCTTCAGTTGAGGACACATTTTTTTTTTCACTCCTTGACCATTTCGAACTACCACAATGGCAGAAAATGTCACATTTCTAATGGTGGAATGGTAGAATTGATTACTAAATATGACTTCAATGTATCACAGATGGTGGCATGAAGTGCGGATAGTGGCTTAAGTGGATTTTACACTGTGTGTGGCAATATATCTTATTCAACAGACACAAAGTAGTTACCATAATCATCTACTTTTTATCCAGCTTTGTTCAAAAGCACTGAAAAGGAGGAAAATGTGAACATGTTCTGTATTATACATCATAAAAAAGGGATTTGTTGCAGAGTCAGTGACACAGCAGCATGAATCTCTCTCAAGACTTTTAGTGGATGCGAACACAAGTAAGGCTACAAGAACTTTGGACCGAGGTTGATGGGTCCACATGTAATTTGGAGAAGGCTAAATGGAGTGAAGGAAATGGACATCGTGTTGATGTTTATCACTGGGGAACAGGACATCATTACGCACCTTGTTAAGCCCCGCAAGCGATGCTGCATAGACGTAATTATCCATTTAAATGAGTATCCAGTGGCGTTTTTTCACCCGCCCCACTCACGCTTTTAATTTCTCAAATTAAACTCTCAGACATAAATATGCCACATTGTGTTTCCTTTCATGGAAATCACCGGACTGTCTCAAGTCCCATCAGAGCACATGAATATGCAAATGTTTACCATCAAGCGCATAATTATCAGCATTGTTTCTTGCAAAGGTTTATTAAGCTTTCAAGAAAACTTATGACTCAAGCAGGATATTACGGACAAAGAAATAGCTCATATTCCAGTAATGGGCCTTGATGTAGCCTCTGAGAATGGCCTACATTTGTGTCAGGGAGAAAAGGTCAGCTTGCATATTTAAAAACACAAACCCAAAGATTTGACATGGCCAAGGGAGGAATGGGTTTGCAATCCGTACAGTGTTTTTTTTTTCATTATTATTTTTTTGCAATTTCCGCATGAATTAATCTCCTCTAATATTGCCAAATAAACAGTGGGTCATTTTATTTCAGATTTTAAGAAACTCAAGACAAAAAAGAAACAAATGACATGCATGAATTGAATTTATAAATGTTTGTCGGCGTCTTATGTTATGTGTTGTGTTATATTATTTTGTTATATTATTTGGTTATTTTATGTTAACTGGAGTAAAGCACTTTGTTAGGTGTTATGCCTGCGTGGGTTTTCTCCGGGTTCTCCGGTTTCCTCCCACATTCCAAAAACATGCATGGCAGGATAATGGAGCACTTTAAATTGTCCCTAGATGTGAGTGTGAGCGCGGATGGTTGTTCGTTTCTGAGTGCCCTGCGATTGGCTGGCAACCGGTTCAGGGTGTATCCCGCCTAATGCCCGAAAACACCTGGGATAAACTCCGGCATGCCCGCGACCCTCATGAGGATAAAGCGGATTATAAAATGGATGGATGGATGGTCTAATGACTTGTTTTCCACAACGAAGGGGCACAGGCACATATTTAATACTTGCTGTGAATGGAAAGTTCCTCGAGCAACCAGCTCTGACACCAGGGAAGAGTGACCTTTTTGCTGAAGCTTGAAACAAGAAGGTAACGGGAAGATGTTAGTTAGCATTTCCCTCCATCAGATTAAATGTCAACTTCTGCATGCATTATTGTAGAATAGTAAGCACGGAGACTTGTCAAACAATTTGCCGGCACGGGTGGAAGAAATCCAACTGAAGATATGCTGTCGCGCTTTGCCACGGCACTGCTATTGTGGCTGGTTATTCATGCTTTTTAAGAGTAAGAAGAAAGTATTAAAAGAGTGGCACTGAAGTCGCAAACAGACAGGCAAATGCTGCATTGTTTTGTTCGCTCCAGTGGTGCAGAGGCACTTCATTTCATTTGAGAACATTCAAATGGTGTTTTTGTTTCAAGACATAAACCTGCATTTGCATCAGGGACTAATATATGGAGGTTTTGACTGTAGCGGTGGCAGAAATCAGCTGCCTCAGAGGCGCAGGGTGACGTGGCCGTTGGAGCAGCGGGGTGGCGTAATTGTGCATTGTGAATCCACACAACAGAGGTGGAGCATGTAATGAGCTGCAGCACTTGCAGCCAGCCAGCCTAATGGGCTATGACTGAGTGTGGAAGCCTCACGTTCCCTCTGCCCTGTGTGGTTGCCATTTTTTTCTCCCGTGCTCACCACCCACACCTGACGCCATCACCCCTGTTATCCCCTTCCTTCATCACTTCTCCCTCAGCCGTTGTCACCCCACCACTCTGTGTGTTTAGCTGCTATTCTCATTCATGATGTGTGCAAATCTCAGAGCAGTCGGTGTGATTGAGCCTGACATAAAGCGGAGGAGCTGCGAGATGACATTAAGAATTAAGCAGCACAATGAAGGCTCTGGGAGAGAATTTTGCTGATGTTTGGTGTCAGGGATTTGTTGTTTGAAAGTCTCACCTTTCCATTAAAGAGTGCTTTGCATTTTTGCATTCACACGCAGATATGCAGCTTTCTGCCCAGGCTAGTGTTCCTGGGATTAAAGGTTTCCAGAAAAGGGCCTAGGCGTATTATTTACACCCAATGGCAGCTTGAAGAGGTATGAGAATCCATTTCTTTGCTTGAGTAATACCAGGTCAAGTTGCTAAGACAGGAATGTGTGCCAGGAATAGATGATATCATCTCTTTCTGGGCTCAGGAAGATGCAGAGGATGAAAACACCACTAATGATAATAGTTATGACTGCTTTGCTTTGAAATTGATAATGACTCCGCCTCCTCACGCGGCTCGCTTTCGGCATTAGGAAGTAATATTCAGGCCGTGGCGCACAATGGGCTGACGCATTTTGACTCTCTCCTCACATCCAACGTTTGACATAGCACAGCCCAGACAGCCAACTTAATGAACGAAAAGCACTTGGCCTCACTAAGGTGGCTTTAAGTGTCGTCTTTTTTCCACGCTAACTTCTTTAGTTCCACCTGAGAGCTGCTCCTTGCTCCAGTTAGAAAGGTAGAGCTGCGGTGCTCCTTTAAGAAAAAGCCTCCTTTTATAATCTCTGGGCTTTAATAATGTAGGTTGATGATTCCTTTGGCGACCAAAGAAGGAAGGTCACCACCGAGCTATGTTAACTCTTGTTGAGTGTGGGCATTGTATCATTTTGAATCATGTTTTCTGCATTGGAAGCGGTTCCAAGATATCCGGCAAAAAGTGTCACTTTTTGGTACGCTTTAATTTTGGTACCAGCTGCTATACAAATTCATTTCGTATGGTAATTTATTTGACTGCATTCATGAACCCTGACTCATGAACAATAGCAAGGCTATGAATGCTATTCACATAGCAGACGGAAATGCAAGCTTAATTAGGTTTTACCCAACTGTGAACTAAACTGTACCACGTGTCGGAATCAGGGCTTTACAAGTGAACATTGCTTCATGAAAGGCAAGGCTGAGCTGTCAGATAATGTTAAGGGTCCCAAAATTGCTCAAGGTAACCATTTGAAGTTAATATGCTGAAAATGAAACTGTTGTGAAATATTTGACAAGCCAGTTGTCCCTCATTGTCAAAAATGCACATTAAAGTTTAATATTTACTTCGAAATAGAGCGTTTTCAGACAATTATGTTCAACCAGCAGTTGTGCTACCATACTTTCCTACCATGGAGATCCATCTCTTTTCTATACCGCTTATCCTGTTCATGGTCATGAGTATTACAAAGTTACAAATCCTCGTTTTGCCTAATTAACAAAAACGCATCAGGGCGAACCAAAATGTATTGAACATGTTTGCTGCAAGCTAATATTAGCATCCCAAAATGGCTGATTGTCTGAAAAATACTTTTTTAAAAAATATATAATTTGTGTTATTAATTATTTTCTTCCTGGGAGAGCATTTTCTCACACGTATGGTAGCAGTTACCATCATACCTTTAATTTTAGTTTATTTATTTATTTATTTAATTATTTTTATACAGTTAATCCTATTCGAGGGTATGTGTATGGGTAAGGAATGTGTTTACTGATAGTCAATTTACACGTCCTTGTCCATCCATCCATCCATCCATTTTCTGAACCGCTTTATATTCACAAGGGACGCGGAGCGTGCTGGAGCCTATCCCAGCCGTCTTCGGGCAGTAGGCGCGGGCCACCCTGAACCGGTTGCCAGCCAATCTCAGGGCACACAGAGACGAACAATCATCTGTGCTCACACTCACACCTAGGGACAATTTGAAGTGTTCAGTCAGCCTGCCATGCATGTTTTTGTAATGTGGGGGGAAACCGGAGTACCCGGAGAAAACCCAAGCAGGCCCGGGGAAAACATGCAAACTCCACACATGGAGGCCGCAGCTGGGATCGAACCCACAACCTCTACACTGTGAGGTCGACATTCTAACCACTGGGCAACTGGACCGCCCTTACACGTCCTTGTGTTGTTAAAAAAATAAAATAAATAAATTATATATATATATAATTGTTTTTCTTTGGATTATAACCTTAAAAGGAAAAAAAACCCAATGAAACACAAAAACATTTAACACATATATTTATTGTGTTCTCGGTCGCTGCTGTGCTGTTCACAACCTACTTTCTAACTGTTGGCACCAGTATTGGCCAGAAATCGCCATGACAAGCGCGTGTTTGTGTCCAATTTACTGTAGAAATCCTCGTGTTGTCTAGTCGCCAACATCTGAATGTGTTATTATAAAAACATCCCTGATCCATATTCATGCGTGGTCGCCTACTTTGAGAGCACACAAAATGGAGAACTAGAGCAATGGGGGACAAACAACATGGTTGTGGTGTTTGGACTTTTGATTTGTACACTACTCACTGATGATTATTTGAGCCTCTAAGCTGCAGATTTGGCCTTGTTTTTGCCATGGGAAGTCGTGTTAACGGGGACGGGGTAGCTTGGCTCGAGGAGCTTGTGTGAGGCTCAGCTGGTTGGCAAATAGAATCAGGTATATGAAGTATGCAAGACACTCTGGGCATTGCTAAACGGTCAGAATTAAAGTATGCTGGCTGAACGAGAGCATTTTTCCAATTCTGGACATCCATCTTGTATCTTGTTAGCAGCACTGGTAGGAAGCCAGTCACCCAGTTTGCATCAGCAAATGGGGGAAAGAGACACTTTTGGTTTAATTTGGGGGACTAGTTCTAATCCAGACAAAATCTCTCAAGGATGAAGCCCCCTCCCTCCTCCCACCACAGTCGGATTACGGGAGTGTCTTTAAAAGGATAAGGGCCTGTTTATCGCTGCTTCCCTCAACACTTGTTTGGGATTTAATGAAGCGGGGGAAGGCGCTTCGGCGTCACCCGATGTGGCCGGGGTGGAGATGAGTCAGAGATTAGGCATCTGACAAATGAGATCAATGGTAATCACAATTTGCCGTTTTTAAACCACCCCACCCACTCCTCACACACCAACAGACACAAACGCATATGCTTCCACTCCCACCCAACCAAGTGAATTTCATTTAGTGGTTTTCAACAGACTTGAAGAGGCTAAAATGAGATGTCCTGTTGAGCTTGGTGTGTGCCTTTCACTGGTTTATTAACACCACAGTGGAGTCTGCTGGAAAAACTGCAGCAATGATCAAAGCATGTAACAAACTGATCAGAGCTGCATTGAAAAGAAATGAACCAATTTGCTCACGTTTAGCTTTGCTGTCAAAGAACTTTTTTGTTGTCTTGAGAGAAATTGACTATATTCTTGAATATATGATATTACTTCTGTACATGCACTGAAATTGTTGGGGGGGAAAAAAATCTACTTTTTATGGGTAGTTTGTGGTCATGGGCAGCACGTTAGAATAGTGGTTAGCACGTCTACTGTTATTTTCATACATTTTCACCCGGACTCCGGATTCCTCCTACATCCCCAAAATATGTTTCTTTGGACAAGTGAAGTCATAAAGCTGCACATAGGTGTGGCCTGTGAGTGACTGGCAACCAATCCTCGCCCAAGGTCAGGTAGGATGGGCTCCAGCGCTTCAGAAAACAGATGGATGAAAATCTACAAATGCTCCCAATTAGATATACTTCGTTGTTTTCTTTGGTTAGTTAAGCTAATGCTCCACTTACCAAAAGAGTGTTGATTCATTGTACATCCCACCAAAGCAGCTAAAGCAAATACAGTGCTCCAAAGACTAATTTCAAAGTTCATCTCAGTTGAACTTGAGTGCACTGAACCCAGCAGTGAGCACAGCTTGAGCTCACATAGGCTTTATGAGCACACATTGATTGACACACATATAGACAACTGAGTTCCTGGAGCCGTGTTACATGGTTTCTGCTGTACTGTCCCTGTCAGGAAATTACTTGCACGGGCAGGAACGTATAGGATAGAAATTTGTTTAATGTTCAAAGTGGATGGGTTTATTAACTGTACAGGTGATGTTGGCAGGTACACCCTAACTGTCTTAATTGTAAAACGTGTAAAATTAAAATGCCCCAAATTAACTCCATGCTCTGTTCTTATGTATCGGTGAGAAATAATGCTTTCCATAACTTTAATAAGTGAATAAAAATGGCAAGTTTGGTACAGATTTTCAGACCCCCCCCCTCTACGCACGCGCCACCGACAAGTCATCATGGAAAGCGTTTGATTTGCTTGAGAGGGATTCAAATAATATGTAACCTGGCGGATCTTTCCCCATTGTAATATTTGCAGTTTGAAATCTATAGGTTTTTTAGGCTTTTTTGATGATGTTCAACTCAAAATTCTGACAAAATTGATCAGTAATTTGACCAGGTGTTACTCAGATTCATTTTGCATGGATGTTTTTTGAGTCTACCTGAATAATTTTGTCCTCCATGGTAATTTGACCATAAGATGAGTCAAAGCTTGATGGATTTCCCACCAGTAAGGTCCAGATCCTATCCTTTTTATATTGGGCTTATCCTCATTACGTTTGTGGATGGGCTTATCATAGCTGATTAGCAAATCGCAGGTTGAGATAGACAAACAGCCAGTCACACATGTTGACAATTTAATCTTCATAACCTTGCTTGCATATTTTTGAAATGTAGGAGGAGCTGGAGAAAATTCAAACTCACAAAATAAAAAATTTGTAAAAACATGTGAGCGCACGTTTTAGTCGGTGTGCAAGAAATAGTTCACCCTCTCATTTGCATTTGATGCTTACAACAGTGAGCAGACACGGATCTAGCACACATAAGGTGATGTGTTGCTTGAGATACTTGTGTAAGTGTGAGGCTGTTGCTTATTTTGTCGGAGGTGCAATGGTGACAAGGTGACTGAATTCCTTGCGGATGCCGCCCGTAAAACCCTGAGCTTTTATCTCGGGAGGCAGCCTGGGAGTTAAAATACTGCCAAAATCACACGGGGGAGGTGAGGCTGGCGGCGAAATGGAGGCACCTCGGCGGAGGGACTTGTTACCCCAGCCTCATGGTTTCTGTCTCAGCTCATTAAGCCGTGCTTGCGGTTGGCGCAACAAAACCTCCTCGTTCCTTCACAATTAATAATGGGACTTAAAGGGTTACCTCAAACACATTAGACGGCAGCTAATTATCAGATGCAACCACGAGGTGAGAGTGGGGGCAGCGATCTCACCTCCAAAGGTATAAAGACACACCCTGTAGCTTTTGTGTCAAAAGGAGTTCAGCGATTCACCGTGCAATTAAATCGATTTGAAAAGGAGCTCTCAAAGGTGGCAAAGAAGAAGAATGCCATCCTCTCGCCCCCTCCCCTTTGTATTATATTATCCATGCTGCCCGCATCCTCTCTAAATAGTTTTGCATGACCTTTGCTACAGTAGCTCTAATTATTCGCAGCAGATAGGCCCTGTAATGCACACGGCTAATTAGAGTGGATTTATCTGAGGGGACATTGGCGCCGTTCTTCATAGGCATGACTGGCCTGCCTTCAGAGCAGGTGATTTAAAGCCGCCGCTAAGGTTAATCTGGGTAACACAGTAATAGTAATTAGAATCATAATCATGACAAACATAGTTTTGATAGCAGCACAGAGCAGATCAGTCACAGGGTTCATTGTTAACAAGCCGCCTTTGTCATCTCTCTTGTTTTTAAGCCTCTTTCCACTCCTTTGACTGATGTTTGACTGCGCTTGTTGAAAGCTATATCTCCCCTTTAAAAAAAAGGCATCACCCTTTAATATAGGACCTCTTGTCATTGCATCTCATGAAGAGTTGTTACTGGAGAAAGCAATATTTTTCAAAGCTTCGACATGAATGGAGAGGGGCAGCTGGAGCTATCTTTTGGCTGGCGGGCAACTTGTGTAATGAGCCTAAGAGGTTTCCAATTATTCCACTTGTGATCAGAAAGGAGATGGAGATTACTTCTCTTGCCTCTTTTTCCCGCTCACTCTCTCTCCCTGACATTTTGCACAGTAACATCTTTTGATAGGGCTAGGGGGAGGGAAGGGAAAAAAGATGATTTCTCGAGAGTGTCAGATAGTCTTGAACAGGCAGTTCTGTCCTCTGCATTAAGACAAAATAAGATGTTGTGACTCACATTTTCATTTCTGCATTCTCCTGTAGGAATGGGCTATTGAAGCCTCACCCCAAAAGAGGCATTTGTTGTTCATTCTTGAAGATCAATTCCCAGTGGTGTGTGATTAATGATTTATGGTACTATAATTGCCTTGTTTAAAAGAGCACATGGTGAAACAGAAAGTTTCTAAAGTTGGAACTTACTGCTAAACCTCTCAGGAAGAGAACTCAGGAAGCGTGTTACATTTTTGTGAAGACCAAATATGAAATATGCGGCAAAAACATGTCTAACTTTGTCACTGAATTCTTTAGTGTTTTCCACAAGTGAATTAGCAAGAGAATCCGATATATATGCATATATATATCGGGCAGTAGGCGGGGGACACCCTGAACCGGTTGCAAGCCAATCGCAGGGCACACAGAAACGAACAACCATTCGCTCTCACACTCACACTCACACTCACACTCACACCGAGGGACAATTTAGTGTTCAATCAGCCTGCCATGCATGTCTTTGGAATGTGGGAGGAAACCGGAGGACCTGGAGAAAACCCACGCAAGCACGGGGAGCACGTGCAAACTCCACACAGGAAGGCCGGAGCTGGAATTGAACCCGGTACCTCTGCACTGTGAAGTCGACCACTCGACTACCTGGCCGCCATGTTTGTATGTATGTATGTGT